GCTACATAAGAGAGTAACAAACACGTGAGAAGGTGATGACGATGGATGTTTGATTGGAAAGAAGGTGCAAACCACATCAGAAGACCCGCCAACCGATCACAAAAAAATCACGAGGCGTCGAATTACTGTACACCTGACTGAATCTGTGTATTCGAAATCACAAGGTTCTGTCGTAATATTCCATTTATCTTTGCTCTCTGAAACAAGTGGTAGTACTACGGGTTGTTGGAGGGCGGCCCTCACAGTCATGTCCTTCTTTACTAAAAAAAAGACATCTTTCTTCCTTCCTTCTTCCTGGCAGGAGGTTGGAGGGCGCCTCTGGCAGGTCCTTCTTCTTTCCTTTCCCTTTGTTGTCTCTGTCTGTCTGTCTGTCTGTCTGTCTGTCTGTCTGTCTGTCTGTCTGTCTGTCTGTCTGTCTGTCTGTCTGTCTGCCTGCCTGTATGTCTGCCTGTCTGTCTGTCTGTCGCTCTGTCTGTCTGTCTCACATTTTCCCCAGTGCTAAATGTGCGTTATTGTGTCATGTGCTTCCTTTTACTCAACAAAAGAATCTTTTTTTCTTGCTATAAAAGTGCGTTACTGTGTCGATTTTCATCTCTTTATCCAAATAAACAAATTTTGTTCCTAGCACTAGATGTGCGATATTGTGTTGATGTGCGATATTGTGTTGATGTGCGATATTGTGTTGATGTGCGATATTGTGTTGATGTGCAATATTGTGTTGATGTGCGATATTGTGTTGATGTGCGATATTGTGTTGATGTGCTTCTCATTAATTTAGATTCAAACTCGAGTGGTCACAATTTTTTCTTTATGTCCCCTGTCATGCTACCGATGTGGTGCAGTGTCACAAGAAGCTTGGCCAACACGTTGAAGTTACAAATGCAAGTTCGAACCAGGTGGTTGGAGGGTCGTGCCACTGTTTGGTCCTACTTCTTTTCTTTAGACTCTCTGTTGTTTTTGTCTACATGTATCTGTTTTGCTTATTCCCTGCACTGCACTAAATGACTTATTGTGTCCGTGTGTCTCTCTTTACTCTAACTCAAAAACAGGAGGTTCGACTCCAAGCGGTGTTCAAATTTTGGCGTCTTTCCGGAGATGTGCTCTTTGTCAGCTCCATGTCCTGACACGCGATCACGAGCTCTCCTTTCTAAATGGCCAAAATGTTTTAAAGTAAGGAGTTAATCTCCACACTTATACCCCCCCCCATACCCCCCCCCCCCCCCAAAAAAAAAAAAACCCCAACAACAAACAAACAACAAAAATCAAAAACAAAAAAAAACAAAAAACCAACCTTTGATTCATTTATACCTTCCAGTCTTTCCTCTTGGCGGTAATTGTCTCTCTCTCTCTCTCTCTCTTCCATCCTTCAGTCCCTTTCTCTTCCCCATTGTCTCAATCTCTTTTTAAGATTTCTATACCTCTTGCACATTCCTCTTGATTTCTATACCTCTTGCACATTCCTCTTGTCACCCTCGCCTCACTATTTTCTCTCCCACTGACTTATATCCTCTTTGTTAAATCCGTGAATTCCAATTTTGCCTTCATGAATGGGTTCTGAAGACTCGTAGCAGTTACACGGCATTCTAAGTACAGAGCTAGTCACCACCCTACTTCCGCCTTTTATCTTTTGACACGACTGCTAGTTATCTGGAGCTGTGCTTGTTTAGGAAAAAAAACCCCAGCATGTACTACTTGAACTACAAAAACTTGGATGAAGCAAGTACCCGTTTAAATGGTCTAGTTGACGGTGATCTGCCGATGTCTGCATGTCTTTTTTTTAACCTCATGTTTTTGTTATATTTTCTCTCCCATTTTCCATCAACTACAGCTGTGTGTGCTGTTGTCTCAGTTGCTAAAGTGATAAACTCCTTCCGATTTTCTATCGATTTCTCCTCGTAGAATTGTCGAAGTAGGGTTGTCCAAAAGTATTGCTAATAGATATAATAATGATGATAAGTAGCATATTAATATGCAATGCCCACATTCCTTCTTGACAGCAAAGTCTGTGCATTTTGAAAGTAAAAATTAGTACCCCAACCCCAGCAGACTCAAGAGAACCCAGAAACATTTTCGGTTTCCCAGGAAGCATACAGTGCTAGCAGCTGATAAAGGTTTCAAACACTAACTGACAAGATATTTCGCTACCTATAGCCTGGTACCCATTCCCACTTGTGTGAAGTGGGGAAAATTTGTGTAAAATGCCTTGCTTGTGAACATAACGTCAGGCTTTATATAGTTTTTTAATCATTCCAGTGGAGCTGATCCCATAGCAGTTGGTTGTTTTGTCAGAGGCTGTCCATCTAAATAACCTCCGTGTGTTGAAATGATGCCCGTTGTTTGAAAAAGAACTCATTCTTGGATTGTTACTGCCGAGACTGGTCGTGGCGGATCTTTTCGAAGAAAAAAAA